TTAACATCTTGTTTAGGTGAGTAAATGAGGAATCTCTCTATAACTTAATTATAAACTGGAATAAGCCCAGTCCCTCTTTTCTCCTGTCACCAATGCTAATCCCTCTTAAATTTACTCATTCTTGTTAATATGTGTACTTTTACTCCTACTTATTTTTAAGAACTAGGGAATAGCTGTGTGCTATAGTCCTGTTTCTTATTTTTCAATAGGCTATACATTTTTAGTCTTTGTTGAGTCTAGGTTGAATAGTTATTTGTGAATAATGGGCTCTTCCACAGCAATATACAGCAGAAAATTCCTTTTGACAAGCCATAGCAAGCTTAATTGAGTCATGACGTATTCCATCAAATAGCTTCCAGTGAGGAAAATAGTCCTTTTCCTAAGGTAGCATGTGCTTTCGCACAATTTCAACATGACTGTATGGTCTCACATAATTGAGGAAATTACTTCATTTATGAAAAGTTACAGAAAGGTATGGAGTTAATATTTGATTGAGCTAATTAAATTTTAAGGAGGTATATACTCTAGTCTCAGAGGGAAGGTGGGGGAAGGAGGGAGGGTGACGAGGTGTGAGTGGGTAGGTGGGGGGAAATCAACCAGTGAACTTATATGCATAAAGCATGGACACAGACAATGGGATGGTAAAGATCTGGTGCGGGGGGCGGAGGTGGGCTAGAAAGGGCACATGGAGGAAACAGAAGGCATATGTAATACTTTCAACAGTAAAGGTTTTAAAAAATAAATAAATAAAGAAGTATACACTCTAGGCTTTCTTTCTCCCTAGATTTAATGAAACCTATTTCTTAAAAACCTTACAGGTTAATTTTACTTTTTTTTTTTTTACTCTATTGTTTAAGTATTTCCTAGTGAGAATCCCAAATCAATTCTTCTTTATTTTAAATGTCATACAATAATATGAATAGAAACTATTCTATCAAGATAGTATTTCTTTTTTTAATTTATTGAAGTAACTGGTTAATAACATAAATTTCAGGTATAAAAATGTAAATTGATACAGCCACTATGGAAAACAGTATAAAAGTTCCTTTAAAAATTAAAAATATAACTACCATATGATCTAGCAATTCCTCTACTGGGTAGAAAAATATGAAAACATCCACTTGTAAAAACAGTATTTCTGATTCACACCCAATGACTTTGCAGCCTGAAGCCACTTCAAATTATGATATTACTTTTAATGTTTTCAGGACAGATGTTGTTAGGGCTTTTGGAACAAAAAGTAGATTATCAGCAAATATCAGTTAACTTATGAACTTTCATCTGAATACCCTTCAGATACCCATGGGACAGCCTGAAGAGTTCCATCAGTCATGGGCACCATCCTTTCTTCCCTCCACAATGCAGCAATAAGGCAAGGATAGAGAGACTATAAACCATTTATTTGAACCATATAAATGGGTTGAAAGTAAAATGTGCTGTTATATTTGTCCCCAAAGTCAAATTTACCTAGCCCATAATACAAGTAGCCCGTTCAATTGCATCAAAGGACTTCCAGGTATCTAATAAAAGTGTTGCTATTGGTTCCAATTTTTTCTTTGTATTCCAGATGAGTTACATTAGCCTATGCAGATTATCTGATGCTTATCTCCCAAGATACAGCCTAGTTGGATAAGGGCCTATTAGATTTGCAACAATTTTATTTAGTTGCATAGCCAGTGGTCTGGTCTCTATTATTTTATGTCTACTCACCCTGTATAAAAGGATATTTTTCACAATACTGCTAAGGGGATAACATGCAATCTTGAGCATAAGGCTAGATGGATATATATAATTGGATAAAAGGACTGCAGACTGCCTTGATTCCAAACCACAGATAGTATCTGATGCTTTAAAAATTCAGTACACACCATTTAAATGCATTACATTTATTCATAGTCTATTTCTGAAACTAGTGGCTGTTCAGTGTGCTGATGGCAGAGAGAAGTTAATGTGTTGGTAAGCAACCTAAATTTTTATAAAGCTATTTTGAAAGTAACTCAATGCCACAGAAAGTAATATCAATTACTCCTTGCTTTTCAATTGACATTGCAAGGCTGCTCCAAATTTCTATTCTTCAGTTCAGCATCTGCAAAGAAAAGGAAGGCACAGAGTATGTCCTTGGGATATTTCTGGGTATGACAATCACAAGAAGTACTTCTTTAGAACACACCCTAAAATATTTGGGGTAAAAAAAAAAACAAATATTGACTAACCCTAGATGCCCTGTGGATAGGGAATTGCTTTAGAAAACTGAGCAATGGAGAATAAGGGTAAAGCCAGTGGGTGACCCGGAGGGTTCTTATAACCTACTAGAGGCCCTGTGCACGAAATCGTGTGGGTAGGGTCCCTAGGCCTAGCCTGCGATCAGGGCCATCTTCTGCCCGTTCGCCAGTCCCAAGCCGAACGCTGCCTCCTCCCCGGGGGGCGGGTAGGTCGCAGGTGTGCCCCACAGTTTCTGTCAGCGCTGCAAGCCCCAGCAGCAGCGGCAGTAGCAGCAGCAGCAGCAGCGGCGCCCGCGTGAGTGGCCCAGAGCAGGCAGTGCATTCCATCAGCAGTCGGCCCGGAGGTGAAGTCGCCAGTGCTCGCTTTCCCACTGGCCTGAGCCCCCAGCAGCTGGGGATGAGCTGGGGATCCCAACTGCCTGACAGCCAGCCTGGTCCTCCCACCACCCACCCCGGTTCCCCCGTTCACCATCACTGATCCATCGGAGCCTGCAGGCCAGGGGGGGGGGGGGGAGGGAGGTCAGCTGTTTTGCCTGCTTGCCCGTCCCCAGTCCCACCCCGCCGCCACCCACCCACTTCCCCATGGTTCCTCGTTTGCCTGCAGGCAGAGGTGGAGGATGGGGGAGGTGGGGGAGGGGAGGGACTGAGAGGTGGTCAATGCACCTCATGGCGACTGGTCGAGCGGTTGTTCCGGTCGTTCTGCTTATGGTCCCTGGCCTTTTATTATATAGGATATCCTGAGAGACAGCATAGTGCAGAGAGGGACAAGGGCCTGGCCTTTGGAGCTAGTTTTAATCTTGGACCCAAGAATAGTACTGAGCTTGGTTTTCTCATCTACAAAAGGTAGTTACAATACTCACTCTGAAACTGTTTAAAAGATCAAAAAAGCTATCTATCTTTTTTTTAAGTTATATGTATATATAACTTAATCAAATATTTAATGGTCAATAGATAAATGTCAGCTGTTTCATTATAATGATTGTTAATAATAAAGTGAGATATTTATATACACACATATAGTTGCATTTTTAAAGTAATCATAGGAAGGTCTAATCCAATGGCACACTGAGTACTCAGTATAAGCTTCATGGCATTGTGTTAGGGAAATAATGACATTCAATGAAGTGCACTGTGAAAATTTACTTTGTGATTAACCTACTCAGAATGAATGCACTTCTTAAACCTACAGTATCTAAAGGCAGGATTTCATATTGAAAAAAATTAATGAGCACACACATACAAACAAATATCTTTTTCCATTATCGTTAATCTTCTTTATTATCCCAGTATATCTGATTGAGTCTAAGAGATCCAGCTTTTCTTTAAATATATTGATTAGATATAAAGAAAAAATGGTTGTGCTCGCTTCAGCAGCACATATACTAAAATTGGAATGATACAGAGAAGATTAGCATGGTCCCTGTGCAAGGATGACATGCAAATTCATGAAGCATTCTAAAAAAAATAAAAAGGTTAATGGAATGAAGGTATAGAATAAACATTCTTCCTCAGACTTCCCAGTTACAGTAACCCAGTTGTTTTGCTTGCAAAACAAAAAAAGTTAATAGGTAAATAGTCTATTTACGTGCACAGAATAGAATAAACAATTCAAAAAGCTTCAACTTCAGCAGAATTTTATATTTATACTAGAGGCCCAGTGCACGAAATTCGTGCATGAGTAGGGTCCCTAGCAGCTTCCGGCAGCCAGTCGGGGCCTCCCTTCTCCTGCCCCTAGCTGCCTGCCACTGCTACCAGCCAGGGCCTTCCCTCAATTGGCTGGCCAGCCCCGCCCCCTGGTCGAACTCTGGGTTGAACTCCGGTCTAACTCTCGGTCAAGGGGACAATTTGCATATTAGGCTTTTATTATATAGGATAGTCAGAGTTTTTTTTTTTTTTTTAATGCTTATTTCCAAAATGATATAATCTTTTGAAGTGTGCATACTTTTTCTTAACAGTTGGAAAAATATATTTGGACTCTAAGTGAAGCAATTTCTAGAGAAAACACATGATCCACCCTGAAACTAAAACTCTAAGTACACATACAGAAACGTGTACAACATTCCCAAGATATATGTAAACAGGAAGAGCCACTTAGTAAATGTATTGGGTTTTGGTAATAATATAATCCACTCTCATTAGGCATCGCCCTCTTGTGCATTAACATGTGACATCATACTCTCACATAACATTTCATAACACAGTGAAATAAAAAGCCCCTCCAGATTGCAACTGTAAGATAATCAGATTCTGTGGTGCTCATTATAACTGCAATTATGTAACAAAACTCTCTGAATATAGTTCCAGTTATTGCAGTTATTAATCATTCGGTTTTGTTTCAAGCACTTGCTTTATAGTCTGCTGGATAGACTCCATTATTCTACTAGCTGAATGTCGAAAGTCAAACATATGCATGTGAATCTACTCTTCTAATGGCCTTTCAACATAATTCCCCCTTTCAATTTGTATTTGTGAATATAAAAAACATGCAAAAATAAAGCTGATGTCAGTAAAGTCACTGACCTTTGCAGTAAACAGAAGACAGTCCTTAACAAAAAACAACTTAGAAAGTAGGAAACATATTTTGCTAGAACTAGAAATAGAGCTGCTTAAGAAGTTAGTCTCAGAATACCAATCAGTTCTTAAGAAAAAGGGGGAGGAAAACTCTCAAAGAATCTGTATATTTGATAAGGAGACAAATCCTAAGAGGGCCAGGAAATGTGCATTTTTAAAGGTTCAAAGTACCAACCTCATGGAAAGGATGTACTTCCAAACATCCTATGCACAAAACCTTGTAGATTAATTTAACTACAAAATGCCAAGTAAAAGACAGCAATTTTATTATACAGAACAAACACCATCTGCACCACCTTAAATCACTGCTGTAGATGTATTTCTAGGAAAAATATACACCTGGAAAATTCTCAAGCCTAAACTCTGAGATGCTGGAGTATTAACTAGCATCCAAAACTAGCATCCTGGATTCCAAAACAGATCCAGGGAAACTGGCTCCATAATTATTTAAATGCTCACATGTAGAAAGCCCAGAAAAATAAATACAATAGTACACGGACACAGTTTCCAAAGTGCACATCACCAAGTTCACACAGTCCACGATTTCTTCAGTTTGGCTACGTACATTGGGCCCCACACTTTGCCCTTTTCTGGAATCACCAAAAGTCCACACTCCTGGCCAGTGGGAGCAAATGCGAAGTCTTGGGAGCAAGTCCTTGCCATTTCCTCTATGTTCACAGGCATGATATTACTGCAGGAATTTAAAATTTCACTGATCACATCCTGATTTTCTGCTTTGGAAAGTGTGCATGTAGAGTACACAAGTAATCCTCCAGGACGCAACGCCTTAATTGCAGACCTGCATGTAATCAGGAAAACACATTAGATTGGTTAGGTACATTAAAAACAAGCTATGGCGTTTGAGGGCAAGGAAACTTACATACTTGAAACTTTTTTGCAATCCTGACTCAGACTGCAATAACTCTGGATGTTTTCTAGCCTCACAACTATTTCTCTCTAACTAGGTGACTAGGAAAATGGTAATCAAATCAATCAACATGGGAAAGACAGAGTGTATTTGATTTGTTCGCTGTTGATCTTTTAAGGATAAGAGGATGGGGGTTGAACATGATGAAAAAATAGGTTTATCTTTGACTATATTGAGTGGTATGTACGGGTAGGTGGAACAGAGCAGCTGACCTTCAGGAAAGAGATCAGGGCTCAGTGATAGATGAAGTCATGGGAATAAGTAAGATTTCCCAGGAAAAGAGCAAGGAAAAAAAAAAGTGGACTAAAGACAGACCCTGAGAGAATGCCTATTTAAAGGGAGGTAGAGATTAAAAAAGAAATTAACGCTTCACTAGATGAAAGAGTAGCTTCAGGGAAAAGATAGGAAGTAAGATTTATCTGTCTGTCTGTCTGTCTGTTTGTTTGAAAGAGAAGACTTACAAATATTTGTAAATGCAGATCCAAGAGAAGAGCAGTCCCAAGTTTCAGACTACAAATGGAGAAGTTAGTTTTTGAAAAGATGGAGTTCAGCTCTTCATGAAAAACAGGATGGGAGCATGGATAGGAAACCAGGATGTTTTAACGTAACAAAAGTTCATGACAGGCCTGGCTGGTGTGGCTTAGTGGTTGAACTTCAACCCATGCACCAGGAGGCTGCCAGTTCGGTTCCCCGTCGGGGCACATGCCCAGTTTGCGGGCTCCATCCCTGGAGGCAGCCCATCGATGTTGATGTTTCTATCTCTCTCAAATAAAAAAACACACATTTTTTTTTCTTAAAGAAAGTTCATGATAGCCTCAATAAGAAGAGTAGAGTGAGAGGCAAGGTGATCTACTGAGACATAAAACTAAAAAAGTTTTAATCTTGATGCTGTAGTGATAACCCCAGAGCAATTACTAATCAGTAACTTAAAAAAAAATCATGTTCCACAACCTCTACTGGATTTGAGTCCAGTCAGCTCCATGTCTCACATCTATATTTAAACAATTAAAGCGCATCCCCAATAATTGAGATTTAACAATAAAGATCTACATGGCAGAAGGACATTTGCAGATGTGATAAAATTAAGGCTCTTGAGATAGAAAGATTCTGGATTATCTGAGTGGGCCTAACATATTCACAAAAATATTTACAAATGGAAAAGAGAAGTAAGAAAGTCAGAGAAAGAAAGGCGATAACTGGTGCTAAGGATGGAATGGCAGGATTGCTGGCTAAAGGCCAGGAACCAAGGAGTGCAGGCTGTTGCTAGAAGTTGGAAAAGGTAAGGAAATGATTATCACCTGACTTTACCTGTGTGGTCAGTTCAGGCTGCTATAACAAAGACACCATAGACTAGGTGGTTTAAACAATAAACATCTACTCCTCACAGTTCTGGAGGTTGGAAAGTCCAAGATCAAGGTCCTGGTAGGTTTGACATCTGGTGGAGACCTGTCCTCACATGGTGAAGGGGAGAGGGAGCTCTCTGGTCTCTTTTATAAGGGCACTAATCCCACTCATGAGGGCTCCACCTTCATAACCTGATCACCTCCCAAAGTCCCCATTAACTAATACCATCACCTTTGGGATTAGAGTTCCACATATAAATCTGGGGAGGACACAAACATTCTGTCTATTGCACTCCCCTACAGCTTCCAGAAGGAACATAGCTCTGTCACACCTTGATTTTAAAGTTTTGACCTCTAGAAGTATAAGATAATACATATGTGTTATTTTAAGGCATTAAAACTGCGGTAATTTATTATAGCAGCAATAAGAAACAAATACACACTCGGTGATGTGGTGTTTTTTTTAATAATAATATACTAAGGCATCATTATATTTTGCTACAATTGTACAAGTTACAGCTACACTCAGTTTGGATCACTTTCAACTGACTATAGCAATGGACAAAAGACTTTCTTTTAAAAAGTTAGAGTATTGTGCAAGGGATATAGGCAGATATGAATACAGATATCTGAAACTTATAGTAAAAAGACTGTTTTTATTCTAGTTTCACAATTAGCAAAGCCAGTCCTTAATCAAGTAAGTATAATTCTTTCTCATTACAATTGTACAAAAGTATACAGAAGCCTCATCATTCACAAACAGTAAGTTTCTGGCTTGATGCAAATTTAAATTAATTTCTATAATGTTGCCAATGTTGGCTAATTCTTCTGCTTTGTTTTCATTCCAACATTCATAATTTATCTTTCTAAAATTAGGTTGGTATAACTTAACTGATCTCATTAATTTCTAAATAAGGAAAGGCTTTTTTACAAATTGGGTTAATCTCAACACCCTAGGGCAGGGGTGGGAAACCTTTTTGTGAGTGCGTGCCAAAACCAGCAAAATCTCTGACTCAAAATTCTTCTTCGTGCCAACCCTAATTTTTTGAGAACATGTTACACCTACTTGATATCTCTTAAGGTGTACGTATGTGAAGAACTTTAAAGAAATAATAAAATTCATTCGAGCGACAAAAACACAGTATATGATGATGAAAAATACATTTATTTTTTAATGTATACATGTACACTGATAGTCCAACAGAAAACTTTATGACTCCGTTTGATATTATCAGTGGGACTTTTGCTGCTGCATCACTGATGACAGAGATTTTACATCAGGTTTATATTTCGTGACCTTCAGAGATATGCACGAGCTACTACTTTCATCCGTCAGGCTACTCCTATTACGAGACTTAACAAAATTCATCACTGAGAACAAAGATTCACAAGCGTATGTGGATGAAACCAAAACACTGGTCCAATCTAGGAAGGCAGGGAGAGTTAAGGCAGAGGCATAGAAATTGCTCTTCCCCTCTCTCGTCAATCCATGTCTATGGTCTTTAAGATACCTTGTTATGTAAAATTATTTATTTATCTAAGATGCACCTATACTGAATTTATCTGAAAAATAAAAAAGTCGATATTAAGAAAAAAATTGTAAATGGAAGATTATAAGAGAGGGTTTCGCGTGCCAGCAAAAGTTACTGGCGTGCCATGTTTGGCACGCATGCCAGGGGTTGCCCACCCCTGCCCTAGGGCAAATGTTAGGAATCCTCGTCAAATGGTTGTTGCTGTTTTGCTGTTCATGACTGTTCTTTAAATACCATTTCTATCCTTTTGCTGGTATTAGTTATACATTTTAAAAATATCATAATTTGTATTCAAAGATCAAGGAAAATAGGCAATGTGGGGGGAAAAAATCACTTCCAGGATTCATATAACCAAGACTTTTCTATACTAAGAAATATGTTATGCCATAGAAGGCATTTTTCTCATGAATTGAACCAGCTTATACTGAGGTCACACTGGTTATGCAGAAAGTGTAAATCTATCTCTACATTAGCATTTATAAATACACATAAGAGTTCCTTTGCTTTTGATACATAAATGGCACTAAGTACTCAATTTTAATTAAGGCTAGAGTATTAACCACTCTACAATCAAATGATTTAAAACCAATACTTTTGGTATTTCAATAAAAATCAAATGATAGAAAAACCAGCCACTGCTGATGTCAAGACCAGCTGCACTGAAATGCCAATCCATCAATGGAGACCACAACCCTGAAAGGACACACATGAAAAACTGCTGAATATTCTGTTGAGATCTTCCCTAGGACCTCCCCTAGAATCTCCACCCTTGAACCCTTAGGAAGGAGGACCCAGTGCACTCTAACTCCTGGGAGCATGTCCCTGTCTTTTCCTACCCTTTCTCTCCCCCACTTCCAAGCTCCAAGGGCCCTTCCTTTACCTCCATAATGTGTTTCCTAAGCCCATTTCTTCTAGGAATTGCTTTTTCTAGTTCTATAATTTATCCAATAAATGTTCTCTTACAAAAAAAAGAGAGATAAAATGTAGTATGTGCTTTACAATATATTAAATGAAAATTAACACATGCCTAAAATATAAGTACCTAAATATATAGTATTTTGCCCACTACAGTAGTGCCTAGGATAAATCATCTGCTCCCATAACAATTCACACATGTTTTGAAACAGTCCATCAGATTCTAGTAACTGTTATTATAGGTTTCATCCAAATCATAAAAAGAAGACTGTATATGTATTTGCAAGACAGGCAGTAGGGTGTGAGAAAGACTGTTGCTCTGGAGAGAAATGATAAAAATGGAAGAAAGATACTACTTAGTAGTTCTTAACAAGCCCAGTAAGAAATTAAAAATTCTGGAAGGTGAAAAAAACATTTAGAAGTTAGAGAGACTGGAGTAGCACTAATACACTGGCAAAGTTGTGGTAATGACCATATAAAAAGGTAAGTCCGGATCACAGAAGAAAAATAAGACATGTTGGATCTGGGTTCTGAGAGCAAAGAAGGCAAAGAGTTCTCAATGCTTGTGTCAATTTCTGTGCCATGCAAAGTTGTTCTTATGTTTGTTTGTTTTTAAATAAGAGGAAGAAAAACCAAACAACTAAGTAACATCCATTTTGGCATAATGCTATCTTCTGCTAATCTCCAAATGAGCAGTGCCCCCTGATTTCTTAATGACTGTAAGTTTTATGGCTTAAGAAGATCCTGAGTAATGGATTATTTTTCACCTGTGCTACACCACTAACTATATTGCATGAAATTACTAAATAACAAGTTGTATTATGATTGGAATTATTTACCACTGAATTATGAGTGATGGTTAGCAGAGCTTTGTAATCATACAAAAGATGTCATGACTACAGTAGATGAACCAAAAGTATTATTCTGATCAGATTAGGGAGAAGGCAAACCTAATACTTTAAACAGAAATGGGAACTAGTAGACATCATCTTAGGTTTTAAAATATTATGTATAATTCAATACACAATGTCCAACTGTAATACAGGGCCGGGGGAAGCAGACTTGCCACATAATACAATCC